GACCCCAGAGCACAAGCTGTCCTGTGAGATGCTGATGTGAAATCTCTCTGAGAATGACTTCCCCCTGAATGTGCTATGTGGTCACTCAGAACTGGCCCGTCTTAACCCAGTAGCGCCATCCCCTGGGACAACCTTCTTGTTGTCAGTCAACCTTACAGGGAAGAAAAGCTACACGCGCTGCTGGTACCTATCTCCAGGGAACAGCCCGGCATGGCCCCTCCTCCTTGTTAGTGGTAGACTTATTGCCAGTGGGGCCAGACCAAGAGGAACCACATTGTATGAAAAGTGAGATTGGCCCTAGGCTCCTTGAAGAGGGCTTGGGGACTTTTAGATGTTGGGATGCAGGCCCTGAAGAAGAAAATGGAGGAGGAGGAAGAAAAGCCATCCATATTTTTGTGAAGGATGTGGAGGGCTTTCTCACAGGCATATTCTTATCTGGCTCTCCCACCTCCTGATAAGGGCTCACTCAGCACCTGTCTCTTTTATACACTGGTAGCCATGCTCCTACCAGACCTTAGTCCTAGTGCCCCCTTGGCCCATTAGCATGGTTCACATGGGGCTTCATAGGACTCGGGCCTTGTGTCTGCATGTGTTCCCCACCCTGTTTGCAGCCAGCACAGTGCGTCCCCTTGGGTCCCTCTAGGACACGTGTCCCTGAGGGCAATTATTCCCAGTGCTGGTTGCCAAAGGGGCCTGTTCTCCTGACTCTCAACCCAGGGAGCTCCCCACATGGTCTGGTAAGGAGTCTGTGACCACGAGGCTCCTAACTTTATTGACCCAGAAGGGTCTGGGTAGAACCAGCAGAAATTTCCAAACCTATTGTCAGTCCATGAACCCTAAGTACCACTTTAGAGCGCAGACCAGTGCCTTGTGTTGGGGATGAGCACGCACAGCCGCGCCTCTGTCCAGCTGTCTGGCGCAGGGAGTGGAACCCTTGGGCCCCCCGCCGGCAGATCCACCCTCTCTGGTAGCCGGCCTGCAGCTGTGCGGATGGATGAGCTCTCTTAACACTTGTTAAACCTGGGCCTGAGCCCCTTCCTCTCCCCACCCCCTTTCACGTCTCTGCAGAGAGGCCTGTCTGGTGTTCTTGGCTGCTCTGGCACCATGAGGGCTGCCTTGTCCAGCACTCCCTTGGCAGAGTGGTTTTGGTACCCGGCTGGCTAGACTCCAGACCCCTCATTGCGCCTGAGTACACTGCCACGCTGTCCATGTGAAATGCTGGGATTCAGGAGGAAGTGACCAGCACCGTGGGGGGACTAGAGGCCTTCCTGTGAGGGAATGGCTTCCGGAATTGAACACGCTCGACTCGCCTGGAGGAAGTCCTGGAGGGATCCACAGACTTTTAAAAGCCTTGTGGGGGTCGCCCAAGGATCCCGGCTGAAGATGCTTTCCAACGACGACGCCACAAGTGTGAAATTCCGCAGGGTCAATGGCGGGACGGAACGGGAGTGGCCTGGTCCTGTATCCGGAGAGCTTTGCTCTCCACGGGATGCGAGAATGTGAGCAGCTTGCTGAAGGAAGCACTGAGCAGAAGGACATGCGATCACCCGGAACCTTCCGCCACTGGAGCTGAGAGAGGGGTCTCCCCCAATGTGGGACTTAGGGGGCGGATGAGGTACTCCAAGGCAACAGGCATGAGGCGGCCCTCCCCCTCTACGTTCACCTGTGTCCTCTAAGTGGGAAACGTTCAGAACTGGAGCTGGGGTTGGAGCACTGGCTGATGGAGTCTGGCCAGTCCAGAGGGTTCTTTTCATTTTTTTCCCTCTTCCTGAGAAATTGTGCTTTTAGCCAGGGCAAGTCTGTCACAAGAGGGGGACTGAGGCTGCCTGCCCACCCACCAGCCCTGGCAGAGGGGGAACAAATGTTTACTCCACACGTGAGTCACTCTCACAAACGGTTGTTTTTTCCTTGCCGAGACCCACAGCAGTGGCTAGCCGACTCGCAGTTCCAGCCTGAGTCACGCTGCCCAGGATTCTGCAGTGAGAGCTGTTGACCTTTGGCATGGGTTAGGGCGCTGACCTTTTCCTCCCAGCAGTGTGGTGGAGGACCCAGGGCTGGTGGACTTGTCAGGCAGGCAGGGCCTGGCTGGGTGTGGCCGCCACCCACTCACTCAGGGAGGTGCCCCCAGTCTCCCAGGAAGCTCAAGTGCGAGGATGAAGAGGCAGGCTGAAGTGTCGACGGCGACAGTTCCGGCAGCTGGTCTGGAATGCTGTGGACAGAGCCCTGGACCTGAGGCATCTGGCTTCAAAGTCCCCTCTGCTTATGAGAGCCAGAAACCCAACTCCCTGCCTGTGGTTAGAAAATAAAAGTTCAACTCGAACAGATACATGGACACCAGTGTTCAGAGCAGCACTCTTTACAACAGCCAAATGTCCATCAACGGTTGAATGGATAAACACAATGGAATATTATTCATCCGTAAGAAGGAATGAAACTCTATGACGTGGGTGAGCTGCGAGAACCTGAAGCTCAGTGAGGGAAGCCAGACACAAAATGCCACACATTGTATGAATTCACTTATACGAAATGTCCCATAAAGGCAGGTCCATAGAGACAGACAATGAATTAGTGGTTGTCAAGAGGTGGACAGGAAGTGATGGCTAATGTGTACAGGGTATGCTTTTGGGAGGAAGAGAGTGTTCTGGAACTAAAGAGATGGTGGTTGCATAACATGGTGAATGAAATTTGTTGTTCACCTAAGTAAAACATCCAAAAAGAAATCTGGTTTTAGTGATGTTGGGATGCAGGGCTCAGCTCTGCTGTCAGTTTTGAAGGAGAGTTTCCTTCCTGGTGCCTCCAGCAAAAGTTCCAGGAAAGGTACTGTGTGGATCCCTGGACCACACCCCTAACCTTGGATCAGTCATCATGTGTGAGGTGCTCAGGTTGACTGGGCTGGATCACATGCCCCCTTTCAGACCAGGGATGGAGTCCACCTGACCCCCATCACTAGGTTGAGAGTGGAGAAGGGTAGCTTCACTGAGGAAAATGGAGGACCATTATCAGAAAGGGAGCATTAGGTACCCACAGAATGAGGATATTTATGGCAGGCTACTTCTGGTTGAAGACGTGGTAGCGTAGTGGTTACGAATTGGGCTGCTAACTTCAAGGTCAGCAGTTTGAAACTGCCAGCTATTACACGGGAGAAAGATGAGGCTTTTTGCTCCCGTAAAGATCTACTGCCTCAGAAACCCTGTACAGGGTCACTATGAGTCGGAACCGACTCCACAGCACATCACTACCACCATCACCACTTCTGGTTGAGCCATGGGTGAGTCACCTGACTTCTGGGCCCTCTCCTCTCATTTACACAAACCTTGCTTCCCTGGCTGTGAGTAGGGCACTTTTCAGGTGCTGGTCCTAAAGTGTGAGTGGATGATGCAGTTGGCTCCTTCTGCTCCCCACCTCCCCCGCAGACAGCCTCAGCTTCAGTGTCCTATTGCCGTCTATGGGGACATACAGACAGGATCCGGGTGCCTCATGAGATGATGCTGGAGTGAGACTCAGGGTGGTTCACAGGAGTCAGGGTGATGGGATTGTTGTCAAGTGGGTGCCGGTGTAGATGAGGAGGGTGAAGATGGTGGTGTGGCTCTGCCCCCTGCCTGTTGTACTTGTCCTCCACCTCCAGGGGACACATGTAGACTGTCCCAGGGGTGCACAGATGGGCTTTAGGGTTGGCTTTCTGTTTTGATTATTGCTGAGCATATTGGAGAAGAGGCAGCTTGGGGCGAGCGCGGGGTGGGGGCGCATGTGGAATAGTTTCACAAACTGCGGACGCCGACAGAAAGAGCTGGGCTGTCGTATCTGCTGTCTCTGCCTCTGTCTCTTTCTTCGTCTCTCTGCACCTCTGTCCCCCTCTCTTTGGGTTTTTGTTCCCCTGTCACTGGGCTTCTGTCCTCTCTCTCTGGATCTTGGTCTTCTCTTGAGGGTCCTGACAGGCTCCCTGAGGACCCTTCTTTGCCAGGTAGAGGCCAGGGTGGTACAGACAATAACTCAGCCTTGGACTTGCTGACAGTGGAAATGCACACTGTGGAGGGAGGTAGAGGGTTTGCTGTCAAATGGTGTGTCAGAGGGTATTTTGGGGGCTTCTGCCTAACGCTGGGCTGCGTGTAGGAGAATTTGCAAATCCGAAAGACATGTTTCCATGGTGTTCTTCCTATCCCGGTCTCCCCTCCATTCCATAAAGAGACTATTTCAAGACCCCTCACCAGCTGGACTCACATAGTGACTGCAACAATGTGCTCAAATACAGCAATGATTGTGAAGGGGATGCAGGACGGGGCCGTGTTTTGCTCTTTTATACATAGGGTTACTGTGAGTCTGAACTGCCTCAACAGCACCTAACAACACCACCTCCTGTAAGGCTAGGACATCAGCCACACAGAGTGCAGCCAGCCGCGTCTCCTTCCCTCTGGAATACCCGCTCATCCGGTACATTCTCATTGCCATGGTCCCCACCCCCACCAGCCAGACCCTACCTTGAGGTTCCCCTCCTCCAGGAGCACTGTCCTCACTAATGTGATCCTGTGATCTTATGTACACTCCCTCTACTATGGGCTGGGTCCCCCAAAATAGATGCCAAGGTAAGTACTTGATTCTGGAGGGGACCCCAGGAAGGAGGGAAGGAAAGAACCAGGGCAGGAATATCGGTCCAAAGCAAATCCCATGGCTAATAGACTCAGGGCCGGACAGTGAGGGAACCGGCCAGAGTGGCCCCCAGCAATGCCCTGGAGCATGGGGATGTGGGGGACTTTGTCTCTCAGGGGTCTGCCCAGACCTTGGGTGTGGCCCTTGGCAGTGGGTGGCCCCCCAGGAAGGCCCTGACCCTGGCCTGACGCATCAGCTCTGATGACTCACGTGTGGGGACGGTGATGGTGGCCGTCTGGAGGCTTGGGCCGCCGCCGCCGCCTTCCTGGGAGCCAGCCCACGCTGCCGCCCCCTGTCTGGGCGGCCTGAGTAATGGGTTGGCCCTCTGATGGGTGGGGGCCGGGGGGAGCTTAGTCATGGCTGGACTCCCTGCCCTCCTGCTCAGCCAGCTACCCTCTCTGTGTCTGCGTGGGGGACTCAATACACTGCAGTTCCCCTCCCACTGCCCAGACTCTGGGGGCATGAGGTGGGTGGTGGGTGGCCTCAGAGGTCCTTGTCCCTTTGTGAAATGGACCAGGTGCTATGACTCTTTATTGGGCCTGAGGACCTGGCCTGGGGATATGGAGCTGGTAGCAGGGAGGTGCTGCCCCTGCACCCCAATGCTGTCTGGACCTCAGACTCTTGGCCTCCACAGGGTGGCATTAACTTCTTTGTGGGACTTCACATGTGTGGCTGCCAGTGAGGCCATGGCAGGCCTCACTCCCAATGCTCTGTGGAACTTGCAGGCCCTACCCCACAGTCCTGGAGGCAGTGCCTACCCATCTGTGTCCACCTATCACTGGTACCCAGGACAGCCCTTAACCACCAAATCCTTAGCTCCCTGGATTTGACCCGACTGTTGAGACCCCTCTTGATGGGTACCTTCTCCTCTTTGGGACATGACAGCACCTCACCTCCCTACCTCCCCATTTCTCTTTCTCCAAGGTCTGTTTTCCCAGTAAAGCTAGTGGGGAAAGGGTGCAGGTCCTTTGGCTACCTTGTCCGCATAGGCAGTGTCTGCTAGCTCTCAAGGCCTTCAGTTGCACACCATGCAGGCTGACAGTGTGGATAGCCTGGAACCTGCACCCTCTTCCAGGTGCTGTCCCAGGGATCAGTGCCCTCGGCCTCTGCTTACAGAGGGGAATGGCAGTTGCTGGAAAGCACCGTGCCCTCCTTGTTCCCTTGGAAGGGGCTGCGGGAGTCTCCTGGCACTGCTGTACAAAGTCATACGTCGGGTGACTCAGAACAGCTTGGATTTAGCCTCTCTCAGTGCAGGAGCCCAGAAGCCTGAACTCCAGGTGTCGGCTCAGTGTGCACCCTCCTTTGCCTCTTTCTGGTTCTGGTGGCTGTAGGCATTCCTGGGCTTGTGGCTGCATCAGTCTTATCTCTGCCTTTGTCTCATGATCATCTTCTGTGTCAGTGGTCAATTGTCCCCCTTTAAAGAGCACCAGTCATTAAATGTAGGACCCAAGCCCTAAAGAGGGTCGCAATGAGTCTGAACCAACTCGACGGCACTTAACAACTACTCCAGCGTAACCTCATTTTAACTAATTACATCTACAAATACCCTATTTCCAAACAAGTGACACTTGCAGGTCGCAGATAGATGTGAATATGGGAGATCACCATCCAGCTGTGTCCATCTTTAGCCCGGAATTGATGCTGGGGTAAAAGTCTTCTGCCATCTTGCCTACGTCTGAGCATGTCTTCGCCAAGTCCCATACCGCCCTGTTGGTGGGTCAAGGAGAGGAGCCTTTAGAGAGCTGCTAGATTGGCCCCACTGCATCTCCAAAGGCTGTCCCACTTCACCCCCACAGGGAAGAGGGTGAGGGTCTGCCTTTCCTCTCCTATGTGCACTGGGGAGCTGAGAACTTCTGGTGGAGGAGTACGCTGGTCCCTCGTATCACAAGGACATTGGATCCTCAGGTGTTTCCCGTGAACTCCCAATCCACACCCTTTGTCCACTTCTGGATGGGGTTTTGGGCTTTGTATTGATTTCCTGGTACTCTTCACATATTGAAGGAGCTCTGGCAGCCTAGTAGTTACGCATTAGGCTGCTAACTGAAAGGTCAGCAGTTTGAATCTACCAGCCATTCCATGGGAGAAAGATGAAGCTATTTGCTTCCATAAAGGTTTACTGCCCTGGAAACCCTATACAGAGTCACTTTGAGTTAACACCGGCTTGACAGCACACCACCACCTTCACATATTGAAGGAGCCCTGGTGGTGCAGTGGGTTAAATGTTGGGCTGTTAACCCCAAGGTCAGCAATTGAAACCCACCAGTAGCTCCGAGGGAGAAAGATGAGCCTGTCTGCTCTCATATAGAGTCTTTGTTTTTTAATGTTTTATTGTGAATTTGTGATAGTTTACATGGGAGAACATTAGTTTTACACTCATTCTATCATACATCATTTCATTGCTATGGTTACAATCTCCTCAATGCATCATCAAACAACCAAAGGGTATACACTACAAGCCTGTCCCCCGGTCGTCAGCACACAGCCCCTCTCCCTCCCTGTGTCTAAAGTCCCCAACTGCTCCATCTCGCCATGTCAATAGATACAGTCTTGGAAACCCAAAGGAGCAGTTCTCCTCTGTGCTATTGGGGTGCTATGAGTTGGAATTGATTTGATGGCAGTGGGCTGGGTTTGGCTTCACATGTGGAGACATGCAGTCCATATCTGACCAGGCTTGAGCAGTTCTGTGATGAAGTTACCCCTGATATGAAACGTTTTCTCTATGTGATAAGTTGCACATGAATACCAGCCCCAGAGGACTCAGAGAAAGCCCTGGAAACCTCTGTCCCCAGTCCCTGTACAATTTCTACAGAAAAATGTGGCTAACGAAAAGCAAAATGGAAGTGGCTAGGGAACTGTGAAGAGTGTGAGGCTGGGGCTAGACTTCCAGGTGAGGCTGTCTGACATGCTCAGTGACTGCCTGATGCCTGAGGCTATCTGTCCATGTTCCTGTCAATCAGTGTGCTGTCCCCTGGTACTGCAGCCCTGAGTAACAGGGGGAAGGGCATGAGGTGACTTGTATGGTGGCAGCACTTAGACCCGCTGGGCCTCACCACTCTGCCCAGCCCAACTGGGGAAGGGAGATGGGTCAGTGGCCTTCCTGTGGTGGAGACTTGTCTCCCATGAGGGGCCGGGTGTCCTTGTGGCATCCTTGTGACATCCTAGCCCTCCTGGCCCTGACAGACACTGAGAAAACAAACCCAAGAGTCCGGAGGTGGGTCTACGCCAACATCTGGCCAATCAGGTGGGCCCGGGCCAGCCCTGTTTTGCATGCACATTGCTGCCCAACCACTTCCACCTGACTCTGGACCTCTCAGCACCTCCTGGCACGATGCTCCTCACAGACACAGGCCCCATGGGATGACTGTGGAAAGGCTCCCAGTAATGTGCAAGTTGAAGGTCTAGGCAGAACCTTCTGCAGGCCCCAGGTTCCCTACTGCCATCTCCTCTTAGGTGTGCACAGACCATCTACCGCTACTGCCTCTGTTCTCCCCTCCATGCCCAGGAGGCAGGCCCTGGAGAAGTACCACTGAATGAGTGAAGGAGTGAAAGGCAAACAACCAAATGGCCAGGGTTGAGGGATCTGGTGTTTGGACCTTAGTGTGCCCCCCAGTGTCCTGTGCCCTCTGTGCTGATGTTCCTGAGGCCCTACATGTACTTTTACTCTTGGGAATCCACCCACAGCCAGGGAAGCCCATCCTGCTGAGGGAACAGCCCGAGACTCTGGACATCTGGGCAGGGGCATCCAAGAGGACTGAGTGTCAGACAAGCATGAGAGCCCTGCATGGGAAACTGGGCAAACCCTAGGGTTCCTATGAAAGCCGTGGCTCATTGTGACCTTTTGTCCCTTGCAGAGGCTCTGGGAGCCCTTTGCATTCCTGAGAGTCCATAATTCATTGATGTTCTCTTTGGGGTCCTCAGAACACAGGGGTGGTCATAGGGATGGGATAGACAGTAGGGGGAGACTCATCAGGTTCTCTGTGGCACCAGGTTGGATCAGCTGGACACACCCCTGCACCTATGGCTCTGTGCTCAGGTGGGGAGAGGGAATATGGTGGGGAGTCACTGGGTCCAGACCAGAGCCTCAGGAGTCTCCTGCTCCCACCTGCCCAGCACTGGAATCCTCCCTTCCCCACATCTTGCTGCTGTCTATGGCTGGCTGCTCCCTGCCACCTGAGACCCCAGAAGCCCCATGGCCTGCACAAGGGTAGCCTCTGGTTGGCAGCAGCTTGTGATTGAGAGCCATCTGTGTTCTGTGTGACACCAACCCTCATGCCTGGTATGGCTTTGGGCTGGGGGCGGTGGCAGCCAGGGTGCCCTCCCCCTGCCTTCCTGGAACGGCTGGTCCCCACATTCCTGGCCCTCATTGTGGGCGGGCATCAGGCCCAGGGATGGGAAACTATGTTCCAGAAGCTGGGGCCTAGGAGGGAGCAGAATGCTGGGGTGGGGGGCTGGCAGGGGAGCTAACAGGGTGCCCTGTTGGGTAGGTTACCTCTTGGGGAAAGTCTAGGGGAGCAGTTCTGACCCAGTGTCCCCCTTCCAACTTGTTTTGAGGGTGAAATATGTTATAAATTCCTCATTCATTAATTCATTCAGCTAGTTTACCAAAGTGAAACAGTGTAGGGAAGGGGAGCAGAGCAAGAGGGCTGGGACACAGAGGGCTTGTCCTGCCAGGGTGCTGGGGACGGTGGTAGCCATTTTATTTTTCCCCAATTTAAAAAAAAAACAAAAAAACTTGTGGTAAAATATACATAATGTAAGTATGCATTTTAGTTATTTTTAGTGTAAAAATCAGAGGCATTAAGTTCACAATGTTGTGCAACCATCACCACTATCAAATTTCAGAACATTCCAGAAAAAGGACCTCATGCCTATAAGCAGTCACTCTCATGCCTCCTCCCCCAGCTCCTGACAGCCACTAAACTGCTTTCAGTCTCTCTGTATTTGCTTATAAGTGGGAGTGGTAGTATTTGACTGACTTCACTTAGCATGAAGCTGTCAAGGGTCTTCCATGTGTAATAAGTCTCAGAGTTCCGTTCCTTTTTCTGACTGAGTAATATTCCATTGACACTTGGGTTGTGTCCACTCCTCTTCTTTTTAAGACTTCACATTGCAATGGCCTTTGCCTCTTGAGTTCTAACATTGGAGGTGTGGAAATCTACTTTTCACGTCCCCACTATTGAGCTAATCCTGGGGGTGCATCTACCCTTTTAGGTCTGACACCCCTCCTCATCTATCAGTCTTACTGTGTACCTGTCCTTGTGGGGGGTCTCTGCTGACCCTCATCCCTGACTCCCTTGGCCGGGCAGCTACCCAACACATTAGAACCATACCTTCCAGAAACACCGGGGTGAACTGTGGTTGTCTTGGCTGCCCACCCCATACTCTACTCTCTTCTTCTCCATGTTGGGCTTGGGTGTTGGGAGCCTAGGCCCCTTGGAGGATCTGCCCCCACCCCAGCAACAGATTGAGCTGCCCTCTCCTGATCCCATCCTCATCCCCACTCTCCTGGCTGACACCAGAGGACTGCTGCTTACTGACACTTGCCAGGCAGGCTTCTTTGTCTTCTATCTCCCAGTTTCTAGGTGCGAACAGGGTCTGGGAACCTTGCTTTGATCACTGCCCCCTCCCCATTTTACAGCATGGCTGACAAGAACGGGGCCCTCAAGTGCACCTTCTCAGCGCCCGGCCACAGCACTGGCCTTCTGCAGGGCCTCGCTGCACTGCGTGCCCAGGGCCAGCTGCTTGATGTGGCCCTCACTGTCAACACCGAGGTCTTCCATGCACACAAGGTGGTCCTGGCCGCTTGCAGCGACTACTTCAGGTGAGCAGGACTGCATATGGGGGTGTGATGGGGCGGCGGCAGGACTTTTGTATGGGAAACCTGCACCTCTTCCAGGACACTTTCTCTAAACTTTCTGGGATCATTGCACAGAAGTGTCTTGGGGAGGGGGGTGCAGAGCTTGTCCAAGGGCATCAAGGGGGTGAGGAGTACAAGGCAGGGCTTTATTTGATACCTGCTGTGTGCCAGGGTGGGCCTTGGTCCTGGGGCCCAACAGAGAACGACAGGGACCCCTGTCTCAGCCACTTCCCATACCCTCACCTGGGTCCTGTGTGGAGGAACCCCCTTTGTAGCTCAGCAGGGTGCTCTTCCCCCACCAGATGGGTGAGACCTGGGATGAACAGTCTGTTGTGGGGCATGGAGCCAGGCAGGCCGGGACTTCCTCTTAACCAGTGGGGCTGTCACAGGGCCAGGGATGCTTTACTGAAGTATGGTGGCCCCATGGTGGGAAGGACTTTCAGCTTGGTGACTGGGCCAGAGCCCCGACTCCGAGCCATCCCCCCACAGAGCCTGACGTGCCCTGCTCTGCCCCTTGCAGCCACCCGAGGCTTGGCGAGGCCCCTGGGGAGGCACAGATCTATTTTTACTCTGGATTTGGGGAAGGGGAGGCTGAGCCAAGCCAAAAGTGCCCTTCACACTCCTCCGTGTCGCTCTGAGTCGGCCGCACCTTAAAAGGCAACACTCTGTGCTGCCGGGCGCCTTTACCCTGGGTGCACGTGGCAAGCATTGGGGGACTGGGATGGGGAGTGGCTGCGGCAGGGCATGGATAGTCATGGGACAGAGTCTGGGGTGACCAAGCCCGCCTACCCTGGAACTGGGACATCTATTGGGTGGTAGCTCACACATCACACACCTACTGTCCAGTGACATTGCTCCCGCTCCTGTGCCCCCCAGCTCTGGGTGAAATTGCTGTTCCCTCTCATACTTGTGGGACGTGGGGCTTAGAGGGCTGGGGGCTATGCCTGTTGGGTGGCTCTGTAGCTGGAACCTCATGCTGTCTGGAGGACAGGACCACATCCGCTCCCCATGCCCAGGGGCCTGGTGAGCTCACACCATTTCCAACCCCCAGAGCCAAGCTACGGTCCTATTTGGAGTCACATGGTGGCCCCGGCAGGCATGCGGCTAAGGGCTCCATAGGCTGTGCTTCCCTGGCTGCCCAGGCCTCTCTGGAGACTGCAGTGACTCCTGGGGAGCCTCCAGCCACCAGGCTAGTAGGAGGGCAGTTCAAAAAGGTAGTGTCCCCACCCCCTCCCAGGTCCTCAGGCAGGTGGGGACTGCACTTGGAGCTTTGAGAGCCATATTTGTCCCAAGTTGGGGCCTGACCTTGTGCTTCCTGCCAGGAGGTATTCCTGGACCAGTGTCCAGGTGGGCTGGGGCCTGTTTCTGGGCCCAAAGGTTTGGGCTCCTCCTGTGTGCTGTGCCTGGCACTTTTGCAGCCCCTTTCAGTGGACCCATAGGTGGGTATGGAGCCGCCTTAGCCAACCTGAACTAGTTAGGCTCTGCCCCCAATTTAATGACCAGCAGGGAAGGGTCTGCCTCTTCCTTTTCCTATCTCCCCCTCACATGCTAACCAGCCCTGCCACTCTCCAGGCCACCCCACACCTATGTGTGTGTCTCCCCTGCAGGGCCATGTTCACTGGCGGTATGCGGGAGGCAGGCCAGGCGGTGGTGGAGCTGAAAGGTGTGTCAGCGCGTGGCCTGCGGCACATTGTGGACTTCGCCTACAGTGCGGAGGTAACGCTGGACTTGGATTGTGTGCAGGATGTGCTAGGCGCTGCTGTGTTCCTGCAGATGCTGCCGGTGGTAGAGTTGTGTGAAGAGTTTCTCAAGGCGGCCATGAGTGTGGAGACCTGCCTGCATATCGGCCACATGGCCACCGCCTTCAGCCTGACCTCCTTGCGGGCCTCGGTGGATGCCTTCACCTTCCAACACTTCCTGCAGATCTCCCAAGAGGAGGATTTTTTGCACTTGCCTCTCGAGCGCCTTGTCTTCTTCCTACAGAGCAACCAGCTACAGAGCTGTGCCGAGATTGACTTGTTCCGTGCCGCTGTGCGCTGGCTGCAGCATGACCCTACCCGACGACCCCGGGCTAGCCAGGTGCTGTGCCATGTACGCTTCCCGCTGATGCAGCCCTCCGAGCTGGTGGACAGTGTGCAGACGCTAGACCTCATGGTGGAAGATGCTCTGTGTCGCCGCTACCTGCTCGAAGCCTTCAACTACCAGGTGCTGCCCTTCCGGCAGCATGAGATGCAGTCACCGCGCACAGCCGTGCGCTCAGATGTGCCCTCGCTGCTAACCTTTGGTGGCACACCCTACACCGACCATGACCGTGCCGTCAGTGCCAAGGTGTACCTGCTGCCTGAGCCAGGTGCCCGCCAGTTTCGAGAGCTGGCTGAGATGGAGGTGGGCTGTAGCCACACCTGTGTGGCAGTGCTGGACAACTTTGTGTATGTGGCAGGTGGCCAGCACCTGCAATACCGTAGTGGTGAGGGCGCCGTGGATGCCTGCTACCGCTATGACCCACATCTCAACCAGTGGTTGCGACTGCAGGCCATGCAGGAGAGCCGCATCCAGTTCCAGCTGAATGTGCTGGGTGGCCTGGTCTACGCCACGGGTGGCCGCAACCGCGCTGGCAGCCTAGCCTCGGTAGAGCGCTACTGCCCGCGCCGCAATGAGTGGGGCTATGCCTGCTCACTCAAGCGGCGTACTTGGGGCCACGCAGGTGCTGCAGCTGGTGGCAGGCTATATGTGTCTGGTGGCTATGGCATCTCAGTGGAGGACAAGAAGGCGCTGCACTGCTATGACCCGGTGTCTGACCAGTGGGAAGCAAGAGCGCCCATGAGTGAGCCACGCGTGCTACACGCCATGGTGGGTGCCAGTGGGAGGCTGTATGCATTGGGTGGCCGCATGGACCACGTAGACCGTTGTTTTGATGTACTTGCAGTTGAATACTACGTGCCCGAGGCTGACCAGTGGACCAGTGTCAGCCCCATGCGAGCTGGTCAGTCGGAGGCTGGCTGCTGCCTGCTGGAGCGCAAGATCTACGTGGTGGGTGGCTACAACTGGCGCCTCAACAATGTCACCGGGCTAGTGCAGGTCTACAACACTGAGACTGACGAGTGGGAGCGTGACCTGCACTTCCCAGAGTCCTTTGCTGGAGTTGCCTGTGCCCCTGTCTTGCTGTCCCGTACCACTAGCACACGCAGATAGCACTGGGGATGCCCCCTACGCCCTGGGGTCCTGTCAGTAGACCCTGCATGTGATGAGGTTCTTTTCACTTCTCACTATATCCTAGGATGTGGTGAGCTAGTGCTCTCCCCAGGGGCATGGTGGCCACCATCGGCCTCCTCGCCACCTCCTCATCCTCAGTGGCCATGGCCTCATGGGCTCTCAGATGCTGAAGCCAAAGTCCATGGTATGCAGTCTCCTCCTTCCCCTCTGCCCCAAAAGACTTTTAGAATAAACAGAACCCAAACCTTGCAGACCCATGGGTCTCTAAGGGCACTGAGAGGTGGTTCGGAGCCCCTGGGTATGAGGCGGTGGGTAACAGGAGCACACTCCTGTCTCCTCCCCAGCCCAGCCCAGTAGTGTTTTTCCAAATGCTGGGCTGTCTATGCTGGGGCCGTGTCCCTACCCCAGGCCAGGCTTTGCCCAGGGTGGTTTCGCCCTTGCTTTTGGAAGAAACGGCAGCAGCTCTCAGGGTCCTCTGAGTGGCCAGCCATGCTGAGTTGGCATTGGAACCACTCAATCTTCCACTTGAAAACTTTTGAAGAAGTGGGTACCTCTGTCTTATGAATGGGACTTATATTTTCTGGGGCCAGCTCAAGCTGTCTCTCCAGCTGCTAATGTGGAATGGATGCTGGCTCCCTGTGACCTGCCTGCGTGTACGGAGTTAACCTCCTACCCTCATGGATGTCGTCGCCTAATATTTCCACTTATTGAATAAAAATGTTGCGGGGGGTGGGGGTGGACCATGCCGGACGGTGCTGAGCTCATGTGGTTTTTGTGATTGGTCACAGATTGCACAGTCCCCGGGTGCATGCTTGGAGGCTGGGGGCTTATTCACCCCCTTGAGAAATTGGGTGGGAATTGGGGGCTGGCCTCTGGCCCAGGGGCACATAAAAATGGTGAGTGGTAAGTTGGGGGAGAGAGCAAGCAACTCCCCCTAATCTTTGGGCCTAGGGTATGGGCTTCTCCCTGGAGGCCTCGTGGGGCAGGCCTTCAAGTAAGCATGAATCATCGGTCTCCATATGGGCCCAGGCTCTGTGAGAGCCCCCAGCCCCTGCTTATAGGACCCTCCTCCTAACCACTTGGGTGCACATTGACAGAGCCTGTGTGAGGCCCCAGGCAGCTTTCCAGGAGGCCAGAAGGGCAGATCTGGTGTGTTCAGGTTTAGGCCATTGGCCTAGGCCAAGTGGGTAGGGGACTGAATGGGAACTTGGTTAAAAGGGGATTTAGCCCATCCTGCCAGGGACATCAGAACATAAGCAGAGGTTCCAGGCATTTACCAGAATGTCCTAGCGCCTCCTCACCACCCTGCAACCCCCAATCTGAGCTTCCCCAAAGAGAACCCTCTCCCACTGGAGGTACGGGCCCCCTCAGGGGGTGGGGAGCAGCCTTTGCCAGCTGCAAGTCCCCCCAGATCAGCTCACACCTCAGAACATCTTGTCCCCAATGAGCTGGCAGGGGGTGGGGCGGGGGCGGGGCGCGGCCGTATCTAATCGGCTCGATTGTGCAGAACCTTCTGGGCTGGTGCATGGAATGTTCTCGGGGGGCCCCTTGCCCCTCCCTCCCCCCCCCGGAAGAAAGGAAAATTATTTTTCGTATTGTAAACTTTAAACACGAAAAGGCTGTTTTTAATTTAGCAGAAACTGGCTTGAATCTTCACTTTGTGAACGTTTGTGTCCTTCAGAGAAGGGAGAAAACACGCAAACACATGAACATTTGACACAGAACTGCACCCACACATCGTGACATACACATGAATGCACACACATGCATAATGTTTGCACACCTGTACTCATACATTGTCATGCACATGCTTACTCATACACCAACACATAAACATTAACCCACATACATACATGCACACAAGAACATATATACACTCACATGCGTATCTGCCCCCTCACATTGTGACACTCACATGTATGTACTAAAATTCTTGAGTACACACATGCTTACTCACACATGTGCACACGTCACACATGAACAGACACGTATAGTTGCAGCCACCTACACAAAGCTGTGCACACATGTACATACTTAAACATATGTGTCCATTTGTGCAGATGATCACATACATGTGAATGACCCCGCACACAAGCTCACACCTATCCTGGCCTGGCTGCCTCACTGGCCTGGCTGCCTCACTGGCCTGCCCTAGTACATGGCACATTGAAGGGCCCATAGCTCCTCTCCTCCCTTGCCCTTGCCTCTGCCTGCTGCGCGTGGGATGGGGCTGAGAGAGCCGTCTGGTTCCAGATGTCCCGCTTCCTCGCTGCGGCCTGGCTGCCTCCCTCCGCACCTGGCCCGGCTGTGGGAAAGGCCTCTCGGGAGGGCGGATGCCGTGGGGGGGGAGGGGGGCAGTGTGACGCGGGCCGGGCCTCTGGGGGCTGTGGTGGGCCCCGCTCCGACCTGGCCAGCTCAGATCCGCCCTGGCTGCATCCCGGGGCGCAGCTCCAGCATCTTTTTCTCACGACCGAGCACTCACTTTTATGCAGAGGCCTTGGGAGCTCAGAGCTCAGTTTAGGAGGGGCACCTGGCTGTGTGTCCCCAACAGAGCACACAGCATGGACATTAGTTGTACAAAGAGATCCTGTGGGTGGGCAGTGGCAGCAAAACTCCTAGCGCCCTTTGGATGTCCCTAGGAACATTGACAAGCATGGGGACCCCAGGATGGGAAGCCACGTTTAGGGCCCTACTCAGCTATTCCTGATGTTCTGTGGCCACTGCCAATGGCAGACCCTTTGTCCCCACTACCCCATGATATGCCAGCAGTGTGTCTGGGCCCTGGGGTGATGCACTCAGTGAAGCCAGTCTTGGCAATGCTGTTGGCTGGGCTGTTTAAGATTTGGGCACTCTTCCCAGCTCTGGTCAAACTATGAGCAGGGGGGTGGTCTGGGGTGGGGGTTCCTGGGTGAGAGAGAGGCCTGGTTGCCCCATCCCTTCTTTATTACTTCCCCTGAGGACATGATGCCAGGACCTTCTGCAGTCACCTTGCGGCCATAAGGAGAACGTTAGGCGAGACACCAAGGTGAACAGAGTCTATGCTAGTAGACGGGAGCATATGAGCTGTAACCCAAAGAGATGTCAAACTGATAGTGCCAATGTGACAGGGCTCTGGTTTCTCTGCCTCACAACAGATGCTGTCGAGATGACTCCCACTCATAGGGACCCTGTGTGTGTCATAGTAGAACTGTGCTCCTCAAGGTGTGTGTGTGTGTGTTTTAACTTAGGATAAATACATAAGTAACAACATTTGCCAGTCCAACAATCCTCGCTTGTAAACAAATTAGTTCAATGACATTAATTACCTTCATTATGTTCAACCATCACAATGAACTGTTGCCAAAATTTCCACAACACAACGTAGTAGTAAACACTAATTCCAAATGGGATTGTGTTCACAAGTATAAGCGTCAGGATTCCAACATAATTTGGTGGGGGGCCGGGGCCGGGAGAGTGTCACAATTCAATTTATAACAGCTGGTTGATGAAGATACGTCTGCCACTATTGCAAAATCCAGGGGCCTTAATTAGCATGCTAGCTATCTGTGATGCTCTGCTGGGACTGTCCTGGAATCAAGTGCCACTGCTCGATGCTCTTTCTCTGTGTCACTTATTCCTGAGTGAAGACTTCCTGTTAGCGCAACCCACATCGGCTACCGGGGTCCCAGGAGACACATCAACATGAGAGTATGCCCTTGTCCTTTAACAAGCAGCCCCAGTCCCTAAAACAGGCAACAGGAAGTCATTCTCACAGATCAGTGGGTATGCCTGGCCAGGCTGGGGTGTCACTTTGCTCCCAAGTGAAAGGCTATGGATGGCCTGGAGGCACCATCTTCCCTTTTCTTCCCCTTGGACCAGCTGCTGCCCAGGGCCTGTTCTCATCTGATGTGGAGCCTCCTGTGAAGGAGGCTGCTGGGGCACACAGTCACTCATGTTGTGTGCCATGGTGAAAGTCAGTCACACGGTTCACGTGCTGGCTCTAAAACCAAGGCCCATGCACTCACTATTGGCCACAGCAAGTCACATGGTTGAGCTCCAGCTCTGGAGTGGGGGATATACCACCTTTAAAAAGAAAAGCTATAAGGTTGTGTACAGGGCAAGAAGTCCGAAGTGGGGTAAGATCAGCATTCTGAACATGTGGCTTTGGGGCTTCTTTTGTAGCAGGCAGACTCTTGCCCCTGTGGGGACTCCCCAAATCTATCATTGGAACCCAGAGGATACATCATTGAGAAGAAGGAGCCTACCTGACTTTCTACAATCCCTGGTATTCAACGTCAATGGACCCTTTTTTTGCACAGTGGATGGGGGCTTGCGAGTGGGCATGAAGGTTCATGGGGAAGGTCAGCTGGGGCTTGGTCCCAGTTTGGGGTACTGGCTCTGTGTGTGTCATGGAACAGTTGGTCCCAGATGGCTGTTTGTCATGGATGGAGGCAGAATGCTTCAGTGGTAGGGAAGGAGCTACACTATTGACTCCTCCCCTTGGTCCCTATCCCCTTAGTCCCAGCATCTCCCCTTGATAGGTCCAGCCTGTTCCACACACAGCCAAGAGACGTGCTCGTCTTCCTGCCCCCTTATCCCATTTGGCTGTAAGGTGTGAGTTCTGTGTCTGTTGTATCTGGCTTCCTACAAAATCTTCCCGTTCCACAGCATCCTCCAACCCTGCACTTGCAAACTGAGGAGGGCCTGGCTTGACTGGACCCTGGCAGCTTTCGGCTTTGCCTTACTGCTCTGATGGCTCCAACTTACCTCCAGATTGATGGGGATCCCATATAAGGAAATGCAGAAAAGCAAAGCATGAAAATTATTGTTGTGAGCTTTGGTTCCCTAAGAGTAACTGAGTGCTGTTACGAAGCAGGCCATGTGCTAAGTGCTTTTCACTCATTATCTGTTTGATCTTCCTGAGCGGCTGCTATGAGAAGCACCAGTGTACACATTTAACTGAAAGAATGGACTGCGTTTAGAGACTTCAAGTCGATGAA